TGGAAAACCTAACTAGTAACATAAAAGGCAGCACTAAATGAATATGTTCAGACCAAATAGATACTTCTTACAACTTCTCACATGTTACTAATATATGTTTTTAGACTTTAATTTTAACAGAAATGCCTGTAAAGCTGTCACAGTAAAGTAATCGGCAGCCAAGTTGTACTACTGAAGAGCGAAATAATTCACAGAAATCATTCGTCCTAAAAGTATGCCTCAATATCAAGGCATATCTAATCTCTTGGGCTTTTATTAAAGAAAACTCTGAAAGAGAAGACAAAAACTGCAATTCTACTTAAAAAAATTATCAGGGTTTAATGTAAGTTCCTATTGATTCTTCTTCACTAAACACAATTAAGAAGATAATTTTAAGAGGGTGTGGATCCAGGAAAAAAAAAATCTTAAGACGAAAACCTGTATACAAATATTTATAGCGCCTCTGTTCATAATTGCCAAAATCTGGAGGCAACCAAGATGGCCTTCAATAAGTAAATGGATGAACAAACCGTGGTACATCCATACGATGGAATATTATTCAGTGATAAAAAGAAAGAGCTATTGGGCACTTGGGTGGCTCAGTCGGTTAAGCATCCAACTTTGGCTCAGGTCACAATCTCATGGTTCATGAGTTCGAGCCCTGTATCGGGCTCTGTGCTGACAGCTCAGAGCCTGGAGCCTGCTTCACATTCTGTGTCTCCCTCTCTCTCTGCCCCTCCCCTGCTCATGCTGTCTCTGTCTCTCTCTCTCAAAAATAAATAAACATTTAAAAAAAAAAAAAGAGCCATCAAGCCACAAAAAACATAGAGGAAGGAAGCTTAAAAGCATATTGCTAAAGAAATGAAAGAGGCCAGTCTGAAAAGGGTACACACTGTATGATTCCAACTATTTGACATTCTGGAAAAGAAGACAGTAAAAAGGTTAGTGGTTGCCAGGGGCTGGGGGGCAGGGGAGAGGAGAGATGAACAGGTAGAGCACAGGGGATTTTTAGGGCATGAAACAATTCTTTGTGACACTGTAATGGCTGCATTTGTCAAAACCCCAAACATTGTATAACACTGAGAATGAATTCTAATGGAAACCACAGACTTTAGTTAATAACAATATTGTTCATAATTGTGACAAATGTACCACATCAATGCATGTTAATATGTGAAACTGGGAAGGGAATGGTGGAGGGGGTATGTTCCATAACTGCACTTTATGCTTAATTTTTCTGTTAACCTAAAACTGCTCTAAAAAGTAAAGTCTGTTAGAAAAATTATAAGGCAGTTTGAAGAGGAAAAAGGCTGGCTGACCTGAACAGAATGATGTGAATTACTACCATCTCACATACATTAGCTTATGATGGCCTATTTTTGACTGAAATAATATGAGTATAATAAAATACCAGGACATCAGTGTAGAATTATCTTGGTTTCAGAAATGGAGGGGACCTTAGAGATGAATAAACAGGCTTAGATAAACTTAGAAATTAACCAATTGTGACCACCAAACACTCCAAATGTTTCTGAAGGGGGAACATTGTGTTTGGTTTGTGCTGGGGCAAAGTACATGTATTTAAGTATTATGGAAAAAAATATAGTTGCTTAGGATGCAAGAAAAACTCTCTTAAAATTATTTAGGTTAACACATTGGAATGTACCCCAAATTACTATATATATCTGTACCTACATGGTTTAATTTAGCTAATTTTACAGACTCTTTGAGGGTTCCTAAAGCTCTTTGTCAACATAAATGGTCCACATTTTCAGCTATTTTATTTTGTTTTTAATTTTTTTAAGTTTATTTCTTTCTCTTCAGAGAGAAAGAGAGGGAAGGGCAGACACAGAGGGAGAGAGAGAATCCCAAGCAGGATCTGCACTGCCAGCACAGAGCCTGATGTGGGGCTTGAACTCACAAATGGTGAGATCATGACCTGAGCTGAAATCAAGAGTTGGATGCTTAACCAACTGAGCCACTCAGGCAGGGACATTTTCAGCTATTTTCAAACTCTGGGCAATAAATGTTCCAAGGGCTCATTAGAGAGGTAGTGCAGCCTAGGGTTTGGAGTTCGGTGGTGGAGCTAGATCACCTGGGTTCAAACCCTGGTTGCACTGCTTGCTGGCTAACCTTGGGTAAGTTACTTAACTTTCATTGGCTTTTGTTTCCTCACATGTAAAGTGGGGACGGTAGCAATACTCACTCATGATTAAATGAATTAATGCACATAATCACATATGCAGGGCCTGGTCTACAGCTGTCAAGTGTTAACTGCTATTAGTATTGAAAAACTGATTTTAGGAGACCATGCCTGCAGGTCACTTTGGGGATCATCTGTGATGATCCTGCAGGTTGATGGAAACATGAAGACTATGCTATAGTGAAACTTCTCCTACTTTGAGGGAATTACATGTTAACTTGTAGGATTTCTCTACTGAACTGTGAACTCAGGGAGCGCAGGAGCCAAATCTTAGTCATCTTTGTTAACAAAGTACATTAAGGAAGCATTTCTCAGAATAAAGAACCGTACTGATTTACTTCTTACTGGGAAAGAAATTTTAATTTCAGCTAAAATGCATACTGTTGAATTGAAAACGTCTTTTTTTTTTTTTTTTTTTTACACCCAAAGAGTTAAAAACCAGGTAAAGTTTTAATCTACAGTAATTTGGCCTAATGATATTACTACATATCAACTTCTAAGATCACCAGTCCTAAAGTATTTCCCCTGGGTAGACCTGATCATTCTGGGACTTTTGACTGCAATGCTACCATGTTGAAAACAGATAAAACAGCGTCTTGAAGTTCAAACTGAAAATTAACTGCCAGTTGAGATCCACACCATTTTCAGCTGGTGAGAGTTCTAATTCACAATACAATAGTCCCAGATAACAGCAAACCTGAGTTTCTCCTTTTGAAAGGCTCTAATAAATCCACTGAGTGCAACTTCAGCCACTGTACCAAAGACTGATATTTATTTAATCAAGATGGGAGATAAGGGTTTGTAATATTCTAAGAAGCAATGAAGTCCCTATTTTCATGTAAACTACCCCAAATAAACACCAAGGGCAGCAAACCAGAAAACCCCCAATGAACAGAAGAATGGCTTCTAAACAGAAGGCCTTTTCCGTTTCATTTTAAGCAACAGACAAGTATTTAACTAAATTATTCTCCGCTGACACTATTAAAATGGCTTCCCTGTTATCAGAATGGAATTTCAGATCCACTTAATTTCAAGAAATTGAAATTCAAATCACAAATCTGGTTTTAAATGGTGCTATGTGCTGTATGCACTATTTATGCGGATTACAGCATCGAAGTAGCTGGACTCAGATAATTGAGTTAATAGCATTAAATCAGAGATGCCAAATTAATTTCTTAGACACGTTCATAAATAGCTCTAAAGTTATTATGAGGCTTGATGATTGAAAAATGTTCCCATTTTATTGTTCACTGGTGACATAATTTAGAGCGGATATATATTGAGAATACCAGATTCCCAGAATTATAAAACCGTGAACCAAGACCCCTACAGGGCACCTCGTCCCATGTCCTCATTTTCTAAGTAAGAAAACGAGGCCCAGGGGAAGCAGGCAAGTGCAGTAGTTAAATGCTGGAGTCAGATCTGCGTTCTAGTTCCAGATTGGCAAGTTATTCACTATGTGACCTCGGAAAGTTACTTAACCTCTCTCAGCCTCAGTCTCTTCAAGAGTAAAGTGGGGGTAAGGACACTACTAATCTCTAGGTTTGTGACAGGATTCAGTGGGATAAACACACAAAGCACCCAGCATAGAAGACTGGCACATTTTACCTACTTGGTAAATATTAGCAGTTATTATTATTATGACTAAGAGTGACTTCCACAGCATGTAAGCAGCAAGAAAACCAGAACATAGAGTTCCTGACACATACCACAGCTTTTTTCATCTAAATATAGTACCTGGGATAAAGATTCTTTGGCACTGACAATAGAAGTATAACTCTACATCAAATAGAAGGATAACTATTTTCAGTCTTTCTGTTACTGAGCTGATCCAAATATTAAATCAGTGATCACATACTGAGGTCTCAGTTTCATGAAGATTCACACACCCTCAGCCTTCCAAGAGCAATCAGTATTACATATTTGCCTTCATAACTGTTTTAGTTTAATTCAATGCTTTTAAATATTTCCCACCCAACACTGCTCATATAAAATAAATGATGATGTAAACTGGCCACAAATAAGAGTTAGGGTTCACTTGCTGACAAACTTAAATTTGAATGTTACTTGCTATGTGGAGTAAGCCTATTCTCAATCTGTGCTGTCAGTCAGCGCCACACCCCTCTATATATCTGCTACGGAGGAAGCAAGAATAAAGGATACAGGAAAAAAACAAAAGCTAAAGTGGGTGTGCAGCAGGAGTAAGACTTGGTCTGGCTAATACAGCTTCCTAGGAACCCAGCAATCACCAATCACAGGCATTTGCAATTGCCCTTTTTGTCAACGTTTTTACTGCCCTTACATGATTTAACTCAGAGTTGAATGGTTTTTTTTCTTATACTAAAAAACAACAACCCAGAATAATTAAGAATTAATACTCATAAAGAACATTAGCTTTATATAATATGCTCTCAATACTTTAGCATTTGATAATGTTTTAGTTAACTGGTGGTCTTTACAGTAAATGTTCTCAGACTGACAGGTAGGTGCTTAAAGCATTTTCTTGCAACCAACTAAAGACCATTTTTCTCAATCTGGATAATGACCAGTGTATATACAATTAACTTTAAATTTTTAAAAATAATAAATGTAATATGGCATAAATACATAAATATATCCAACGCATATCAACTCAAACTACAGTGAGATAAACTCAAGTATAAACATGAACAGAGCCCAAACACCTTTTTATGGAACAGCAATGTGATTCAGCAGACCAACAGATGAAGAAAATAGTCATTTGAAAAGTGGCAATTTGTAACCATACCCGGTATTTAGTATTTCAGCGACTAGAAATAAAATCGTTTGGCAAACTTACCCTCATTTTTGCACAGGCATCTTGGGTTGATTCTGTCCCTCTGAGCTCTTTTATCAGCATAGAACCTAAATACTAAAATACAAAACATTTCAATGATTTATGAAAAAGAGTGTAAATATGAGTTGCGATTTAGAAACCAAACTGTGGAAGTCCTATTGGCTGGGTTTCCTGGCTGAAAGTTGCTGAATAACTTTAAAAAACTAACAGTAACTAATTCTAATAAATGCCTTTAGAAAGAGAATGCCGTAGAATTAACTACAGTTCTGAGGGCTGTAAATTGCTCTTTATAATAAAACTGCAGCATCTTCTAAAGATGCCATCTTTCAAATCATATTTAACTGCAAAATGGGGGCATCTAAAAATGTTTTCCTTTTTTTTTTTTTTTTTTGAGGCAGCAATGTCTGCAAAAATAAATCACACTACTCTCTACGTAATTACAGGGTTGTGTGAGACAGCTGAGAAGCTAAGCAACATGCACCCCATTTGGGCTGACTTGGCTGCGTAGGTAATTAACGTTAGGCTGTTCTCGGGCGGAGACGCAGTTTGGGGTCTTTTCATTCACAGCTGCGAGCCCCGTGGTTGATCCACCTGAGAACGGGATGGGCGCGGGATGGGAGCCAGCGGGGAGGGAGAACGGCATCTCGGTTGTTCCCGAACACAAAGAGTTCAGTCCCTGCTGCAAACCCACACGGAGGGCTGAATGGGGGAGGGGGAAGAGGAGAAAAGTCTCCTCCCAGGAATGACTAACCGCCGTGCGGTTAGGTGATCAGATCCAATACCGCCTCGGGACAAAACGCCACTCAGGCTCCATGTTCTAGCTGCGGGGCAGTTTGTAGCAAAATGCCTCTTTTGCCTTTCCACCAATAGACTCCTCTTCAACTCTTTGAAGCTTCAGTCGGGTTCCTTTGTCATTTTTTTCCCTCCCTAATCTCCCTCAAAAAAAAAAAAAAAAAAGAGCTCTTATGTGTTGTTGTTGTTGTTGTTTTAAAAAAGTGAATTAAAATAATTATTTTCCTGACAGGACTGAAGAAACGCTGGCACTCCGCAAAACCGCAGTTGGGAATCAGGCCTGCAAACCAGGAAATTGCCGACTGGAAGAGGGTGAGCCCTTAAGGGCTGGCGAGCAGAGGGCGTGGTTAAGGGCCTTGAAAGGAGAGTTTCCAAAGGCTCAGGGATTTGGTGTTTGAGCTTTGGAGGAGGAAGGAGGCATTTCAATCCTACAGTTTTGGAAAGATTACTGCTGAAATAAATCCAGTGCTTCACAATAAGTAGGCAGTAAAAAAGGGATAGATAACAAAATGAAAAAAAAAAAAGGCCAAATTGCTATGCAACAACCAGAATGCCCACATCTTAATCAAATTAAGAAAAATGAATTCGGTGAAATCCTTGTTTTTTAAGTTATCAGAGAAGTTTACCCTAATTGAAACATTTCTTTGTAAAAGAGGTGATTTTCCTTCTCCAGCTGTAGTCATGACAACCACCACCTGCCCCCGCCCAAACCTACAGTATTTTTTCAACACCTCCCTGTTTATATTGCATTTTTAGCTAAGCCTGATTCTCTCTTCTATTAGAAAAAAAATACCCAGTATTATAATTCTAGTGAAAAAATCTGGAGTAGAGCCAATGTTTTGAGATCATTAGTGAGTGAGTGGAGATGTCTGTATGTCTATACTTCTATTCATATCCATTTAAAGATCATGCTTTATCTCATTTAAGATATACAACTATATACAAAATAGATCTTAAGCTCACAAGATTCAAAGGGATTATAAAGCTCTATTTACTTGGACTTTCTCTGTATAGAAAAGGCTACTTTAAGAATAAGAGAAGGGACAGGGCGCCTGGGTGCCTCAGTCAGTTAAGTATCTGACTTTGGCTTGGGTCATTGACTTTGTGGTTCATGAGTTCGAGCCCTGCGTTGGGCTTTATGCTGATAGCTCAGAACGTGGAGCCCGCTTCAGATTCTGTGTCTCCCTCTCTCTCTGCTCCTCCCCAGCTCGTGCTGTCTTTCTCTATCTCAAAATAAATAAATAAGTAAATAAGTAAGTAAATAAATAAGACATTAAAAAAAAAAAAAAGAATAAGAATGGGAGAATACTTTAAGAGTTTCAGCAGGGGACATTTTGGTATATTTTCAACATAAAAGTAAACAAGCCAGAAACACACCCTCTATCCCCTCTGGAACCCAAATATTGAATTCATAGTAACTTACAAAAGCTTTGTAATCACACGATTGGAAGATGAGCTTTTCTGGGTGGTGTTGCCAGTACTGTACTGGAGTGGAGGCTGTGGCTTCATTTGGAGGTCGCAAGGTAATGGAAGGTTCTCCCCAGTCTCCTGTCTGAAAATCACATTTATTCTAGACGTAATATGAGCAGTTGGCCAAGTTCATTCCCTACAGCTAGCCTGAGTTCTTCTTATACACATGTGCTGGGATGTGCAAATGCATTTGGGTGTATTATGTGCACATACTTTTACTGTTTATTACGGTTTTATATGTGGTAGCATCATATTTCCCAAAGCTGAGTTAATTTTTGAGGTGTGAAAGAAGTTACTCCATTTTTAGATTGACGCCCTAAGCTAAGTAATTTTAAAATAAAACATAGAGATCTTCATAAATGAGGCACTAATTCATAGTTTTCTGTCACAACAGAAAAGAACATACAACTTTGAAAAGACTTTTCTGTTTTTAACCTTGATTATTTGAAATTTTTAGTTTGAACTGCTTTTACATTCAGAATACACAGTTCCATGAATTTCAGTTTCCAAATGTGACATGTACTGTGTTCTTGGGATAATTTTATATCTCTGGAGAAAAGGTAGTAAAAGTGTGACTCCTAAACAAAATTTTAGAAGAAAAATTACGAATGGATGACTAGTTTCCCTCGTCTGAATTCATTTGGATTGATAAAATGCCACTGTGACTGTCTTGGATGTATTCAGCTACCTTTCTCAGAAAACCTAAAGCACACATGAATAATAAACACTTAGATACCAAGTTTGGTCATATGTGCAAATGATTCACAAATACAAGCACGTGCACATATGATGGCGTATCATATAACGCATATGCCCACTAAGACCTGAGACAGAAGGACATCCCGTAGTTTCATTTACCGTTTTCCATGAGGTTAGCCTCATATAACGGTTTAGTGTGAGCATCTATGAAGTGAGAGGTCCATGCTGGCAGGTGTTTGCTGGGCTCTAGTCCAATTTAGGTATTATATATGGGAGATTTCTCACTCTCTTCCCTGAAGATTCTCATTTCATGAAATTCAGCTCTTTGTTCTCAGATGGACATTAACAAAACTAGACAACAGGCAGATTTCCAAAGCCACTCTCTTTTAACCTGGATTTGGCTGGTCTTGTAGAATTATAAGGAATTACTCTTCTCAGGAGTTGAAAGAATACAAATAGGTCTCATGAACTCCAAAAACAAGTAAAACTTTGGTTAGAGACCAAGTTTCATAGAAGTACTAGCAAATAGGTTGATGCTGTAGGGTTTCTTAAGGAAGATTTTCAAGGAGTCTAGGATAAGAATGCAAAATTGTGGACGGAGATGTATGTTTTGGGGAAGAAAAAGTCTACAGCTTTCATTAAATTCTTTGAAAGGATCAGAGACCCTAACAGGTTAAAAACCACAAGTCTCCAGGAATAGCTTAAATAGGATGTGTGTTTTGGGGAAGAGGACCAGCATTTCAGTTTTCTCTGTTCGGTCTGGACTTACATGAGGTGGCTGCCAATGCTGGGAAGTGGGAGGCATAGGCTTTGCCTTCGGAAGTTTCTAACAGGCTCTGGAAAAATGGAAGAAAATTCTAGAGCCCCTCCAGAATGCCTTTTCACTGGGGCAGAGAATGTGAAGCTTTTCTCTGTGAGATGGGTCACTCCTAATCTCAGGAAGAGCAATGTTAGTATCATGCTAGCTCATTAGTTTCTCACTTGAGTGTGTGACCTATCAGATTTTCTCGAGCTCTCCCTCACGCTCTAGTCTAAGCTATTCTTTGTACTTGAAGATGGCTCGGTTCTCCTGTCTCCTGTCTGTTGATACAGTTAAGACTTTACCTGGAATGATTACTTTAGCATTTTTGTGTGCCTTAGGACCCATCCTTGACTCATTCTTGAGTTTTCTCTTTATATTTATATGAACTTTTATTTTGTAAAAGCAATGACTGACTTCAATAGTAAGTTTTCCTCTGGCTGCCTATTATGATCTTCTCTTATCCTTCTCTTTCAAACATCTGGTCTTAATTATGTCTCTAGTCTTTAATTCAACGGGCTGTAATTTGCTCTTTAAAAAAACTAGTAAAAATTGAAAATGTAGGAAATGTGGATTTTGATATTATTTTGAAGGTGAGTGTAATAACCTTTAAGTGATAATACCTATAGTTAAAGCTCTGGAAACACGCAGCTATGAATTCTTAATTAAAAGCTCTCCCCAAATCTGGCAAGTCCTCTAATCTGCCCCATTAACCTGCTTCCCGCCCCCCGCCTCGGTAAAGCAACAACAACATAGCAAACAGGTGTTGTACATTTAAGTCACAGGTAACACTGTTAATGGAACAACAGAAGTTTGCACGCAACTCCGTGGAATGATACAAAAAGAGGAGCTCGTTGATGTTATAAGATCCTTCGATCCAGTGTTTGCTGAGGTGACAACTTAAACCAAGCATCAGATCTTCACATGAGACCTGTCATAGTTCAGCTGGGTACACCTTGGCTGAGCTCAACAGGCAGTTTTCAAAACAGTCTGAACAGACATGGCAGGAGATGGGGGTACCACAGGTTGCAGGGCAAGGGTTGGGAATAGGGCTGGGGGTGGGGAGAAGTGGGGAGAAGCTGGGGTTATGGGGACATTTCAGGTATTAGTACATTAAGCATGCAAATCATAGGCAAACTCATTCTCTAACTGTTGAATTAACTCAGGCACGTTTATAACTAAATTTCAATGTGAGTTCCGTACATTTAAAGCAGAACTACAGCCAAATGCTGATCCAAATATTTACATCATCCACATAAGTCGTAGCAGCCATTTTGGGAGTAACAAGCCCCAGCACATACCAACTCAGTCTGGAATTCATCCCGACCTCTTATTTGATAACCACTTGAAGAAGTTCGTGGCACATCCATTTAACTCTGTTTAGGCAGCGCCATCATCTGCTCTTCTATGACTCCACTTTGTCCAGAAATCACAAGCCACCTGCTTTGAATTCAGAATGATCTGACAGGGCCTCCCCTACGTGCTATGGGGGAGGGAGGAAATTTAGGGAAGATAAACACAGTCCTTACTTTATTTTCTTTGTGGCCTTGAAACATTGCTCCAGTCCAAATATTTTTAAATTCTCTATACAGACTGAATCTATCTTTCTGGAAATAGACACTGAGTTTTGTCACATTTAGGACCATTTCCAGAAATTCATTTTCAGATGAGAGAAAAGTGTCGTTAAGATTGAAGGTATAAAAAAATAAATTTATTTTCTTCCTGGAAATTCATCAACTTTTTTAACCTTGGATCAAAGAATATTTATGAGACTCAATTTATAGGTGTTGATTCTTCTCTTTGGAGTTAATTTTATGAGAATGGACAGACTTGCGACACATTACTACAGAGGGCAGGAATGGCCTTGGCCTTTGGGTTTGTTCCAGCTTCAACTGGTCAGCTGACAGTACAAGGGTCCAGAGAACAAGGGTGCCTTTGGGCTCACCCACCTCGGGGGCTGGACTGCAGCAGGAATGAGCTAGGGAGGAACGGAGTAGGGCAGTATATTGTATGGAATAGCAAAAGAAACCAAAAAGCAAATTAGGGTTTCTTCCTTAGCTATAAAATAATTCCACACTGTGAGGCCCATTGTCAGGTCTTGCCAAATAGTATACTCATATCAAGACAGAACCTGTATTTCTTCAGGTAAATTAATAAAATTAATTTAATAATTTCCCAGTTTTTAAAAAACTTTTGTTAATATAAAAAAAATCAAACAGATGTTTTGCCTCAAAAAAATGGTTTATAATCAAAACTTACATAATCAAACCTTATCCTCAATGAACAGATCTGAACACAGGTAACAATGACGCAGCAATATTTAAATAGAATAAAAAAATACAAGAGGAAAAGGTTGGGGTAAAATTCCATCTTAAACTGTTACTGACTGACAGTACTCCTTTAAAGGCTTCAGCAATTACAGAAGAGAAATGATTCAAGGCACTCTTACTAGATGTCTTCAGGCTACTTTTTTGAGCTGAAAATACTTACACCTTTCCTTTATGTTCATGTATTGAATGATCTTAATATTCCAAGTATTTGGTCATGGCTTAAAACCTCATTTACTTGATATGTATGTGCCTATGTACGTATGTATATATAGGATATTACCAACAAAACAAAGGAAAATTAACATCATTAAGTGTCCTTTTGAGCTCAACTAACCTTTGAAGATAAAGGAAAAACATAATTTGAGATTAGAGCTTTAAACGGAAAATTGATTCTGTTGAACGGGTATTTACCAACTGCGAACCAAAAGTGCATAGTCTGGCCGAGTTTGAAGGACAGGTAGGCCATACTTAAATGTCTTTCATACCACCAGCTGAAAGGTATAAAACCACTAACTGAATTTAGTATCTATATATACTAAGTAGTATATATACCATAGAAAAAAACTCACAGAAGTCTACCGATAGATTTTTATTGGATGGCAGAGTCTAAAATGCAGCTTTTAAACTTTGCCTTATTTCAAAAGACGGTAAAACCGTATGACTTTTAGTTCATATGCACCAGATTCATAAGGCAAATGCTAAAATATCATAGTGTGTAGCTTTCTCCCTGCAAACTGGAAACTGAAGAAACTCCATATTCTATATGCTCCGTGCATACAAAGGGAAACACTGTCAATATCCTCATTCTCTTCTTGATAAAAAAATTTCCTGGGGCGCCTGGGTGGCGCAGTCGGTTAAGCGTCCGACTTCAGCCAGGTCACGATCTCGCGGTCCGTGAGTTCGAGCCCGGCGTCAGGCTCTGGGCTGATGGCTCAGAGCCTGGAGCCTGTTTCCAATTCTGTGTCTCCCTCTCTCTCTGCCCCTCCCCCGTTCATGCTCTGTCTCTCTCTATCCCAAAAATAAATAAACGTTGAAAAAAAAAATAAAAAAAAAATTTCCTAAAGATGTCAGTAAATAATTACGACTTAGATTATTATCACTTAGATTCCTAACATGAACAGAAAGGTACAGTATTTTCCAAGCCTTGTATTATTCTTTAAAAAAATTTTTTTTAAATTAGGATTTAATTGATTTTTTTAAATAGAAGCTTTTAAATCTTTTATACTAGGAACTGTTTCCACCTACCTGCTTATAAATTTAGTTCTGAATATTAACAAACATTATTCTCTATTTCTTCAGAACTCTTAATGAAAAACTAAAATGATTTTAAATGACAACTGTTATTTTAAGGTTTCACTTTCAATAATTCTGACAAATATCAGAGATGGGCTACCCAAACATTCATAAGTTATACATGATTACATGTATTTTCTGTCATCTCTAAGGCTCTGAAGAATGTTACATAGAGCTTTATTCCTTTAAATATGTATACATATATTTGGATGTGAATGTAAAGAAAGGCCTCCTACAAACATTCACACACACATAAAAGGAGGATGCCACAACAGTTGTTTTAAAAATCTTCAGGAATAAAGAATGCTAGTTTGGTCAAATGCAGTTGGTTATACTAAATTTGTTCCTTTTGATGATAAAGAGCAGAGATGGCCACTTCTGAACATAAAAAAGCACTGGTTAGCATTTACGGGTTCGGGAGGGACCACTGGTTCACTGAAGCATCAGTACCAGGCAATGTAGAGACCCCAAGATCCCAAGAGCCAGAAGTCCCATGCACAGGAGGGGTGTGCCTGATGTGGCTCCCCTAAAAAGGCCCTCACATGCCACCCCGAGAGCTCTGCTTAGTGATTCTCAACCAAATGTCTCAACCTCTCAGACAGCTCAGAGAGCAGGCTATCCAATGGCAAAAATTTATTCAACAGGATGTGAAAACAGGATTGTATTTTAAAATACAAAGCAGAAAAGACCAAACATGAAAATGTCTACTTTCCAAACAAAAAGTGATTTTTTTAAAGTATGCAAAGGTAAAATGTGAATATTTGAATATTAGGTGGCTCAGTGTAAAATGGGTCATGATTTCAACACTTTCCAAAGATCAATTCAGAATCGTCAAATGGAAAAAGGCTGAGAACCACTTTGTAGCCGTAACAGTGCAGCTCTTGGCTATACTACTCCCACACTTGCATAAAATGTATACAGAATATCATGCAAATCATACTCCAATATTTCTCACAAGTAAAGCACACGAACCTTTGAGAACTGTTAGACACAATGGGTTGAACAGCCCATGGACATGGGGAAGTACAAGATGAAGAAGAGTAACACCGATATATACATGTGTGTGTATATATATATATATATAAATATATATCAATTTACCCTTTTCCTTCTTCCTGTAAAAGCAAATTAACACAGACACCTGGGATGAAAGTCAAAACTCACATGGGACAGATTTTAACTGCAGACTTTAAAACCAAGTATGTTTCTCATTTTAGGACAATGTTTGCACGTCAACTAGTCACAAGGCACAGTGAATGAAATATAATAGACAAGATCTCAGGAGTCATTAGACATCACGAATTTTCTGCATTGCCCAGGACACAGTACCTGTAGCTATTGACAACACTTTGCAACACATTACAGAGCGCAAGTTCAGGAAAGAAAATAACCATTTGTAACCTTACATTATGAACCTGATGGATGGCTGAGAAAGGAAATCCAGCGTTCTGATTCGTCCATATCTCACAGACAGACGACTGCTGATATAAACAGAAAACTATCTCATCTTGTCAATATTTAGAACATGGCAGCTACCATGGTAGAATCAAGGAAAGGAAGGAGGAACATAATAAAAAGCAAAGAATCACATTTCTTAAACACTGACTCACGCACATACACACACACACACGTGCACGCGCACACACAAACTCAAAAAATGTTTTAGGATGCCCAGGTTTAATAATTGGCTTCCAAGTCATTCTTTTGCTTAAAAGCATTTTGGGTTGGCTGAAGGGGGGGGGGTGGGTAAGAAAAAAAACACTTATGCATTAGTTTTATATCAAGGGAGATTACCAATAAATGCACATCTTGGAAAAAGCAAACTGTTTTACATTTGCCAAAGAGAACGGAAATATCTTCCCTCTTCACATCATTCATTTCAGAGGATAAATAGTTTCATGAAGTTCAAGATGGGAAAAAAGCCTTTAACGCAGAATAAATGTTTTTATTTTCTTATCTTCAATGACCAAAAGCAAACAATGCAATAAAATGACTTTCCTGACTTAGTCATTGCTCCACTTGATAAACCTAGAAGATCCTTCTCCCTCCGGAGTTCTCAAGGGCAAAACTGCGGTTGACATGGAAAGAAGCATCAGTCTGCCACTCAGCAGTGGAAGTGTGTGTGGTGGGGGAGGCAGGAAGGAGATTAGAGCAGGGAGGGGTTGGGGCCAGGAAGCCGGGGTCTGTTACTGAAGCAGACGCTTTGGTGAACAGCACTGGGGAGCCTAATGAGTCAGCTCCGTGATCTCAACTTTCCACCACACCATTAACAAATAATTAACAATTATTAAAAGGCAATAATGTTTGCTTAGAACCAAATGCCAAACTAAGTCCCCTCCCGGGAATTACAGCAGAACCACCAAATAAAGCGAAGAGACTCCTGGCTTGATCTTTATAGAGTTCTTTTCCTGAATTCCATCATTCTAAAAGACACCATGAAATTGAATCACAGAAAATGGCAGCATGCCTAAACTTACTCAGTAAGCACTGTGAACATCCCCAGAATTCACAAGCAGGCCGTACAAAGATCATGCAGGAAGGAGATAAGAACATAACCACAATATGGTTTAGAAGCCCGGCAAAGAACAATCGCATCAGCAAATGAATTATGGAAAAGAAACTTATCCCTGGCTAAATGTCTTCCCTACCTCCACCCTCCCAAAAATGCTCACCAGAAATTTAACATCTCTCTGTCCAGTTACAGTGGCATGTCCCACCCACATACAAACATCTTTGCTTTCCATCCCTTCTGTCATCTGGATGACTTGCTGGGGACGGATTGTTAGGTAACTGGCATTTCCTTAAGGAAGTAAGATCCCTGGGGGCCTGACCAAAGGCAACTTCAACCACCTCCCACTTTAAGTGGTTTAACCAGGTTTGCTACTCTCAGCTCCCTCTCTAAACTCCATGCTATTTCCTCCACAGGGGATCTTCCTCTTCCTACCTTTCAAAAATTAAAACTCTAGCAAGCTAAGTGTTGCCCATTAACCTCCCAGCCTCATCTACAATAGCTGCCATCTGATTTAAATATACTAACTCCATGCTTTGGTGGGACTGCCATCTTAACTGGCATAAAACATACTTCTAGGATATCCTTGACCTTTTCAGTACTATCATCCACAGTTCTGAGCTAATTCTTTTACAACTTTCAGAGACTTTTAGTGCTAGAAGTAACCCAGGGACCGCTTGTCATCTGCCAGATGAAGGCGCTGAACTGACATTCAGAGAGGGTAAGTGGCTTGCTCAGGTCACACAGGGGAGGGTCACAAGTCAGCCTGTGGGGATGGCTGGGAAGGAGTGCCAGCTTGGTACTGACTTCACAGGAAGCCAAGGAAGGCAAAGGGAGTCTCCAGTTATATGGAGATATGTATTGTTTTACTGATCCTGGAACAAGTGTCTGTAAACGTAACCAGTTCAACGAAGAGTCTCAACTCCATTGGAGTTCAAATAACCTGAATGTTTTATTGTTTTCCAATCCTTATTCCCAAATGGGCCAGCCCAGTCTCCCCTCCCTGATGGGCATCAGGCCACTTGACATTTTGGGCAGATCTCCTAACTTCCTGGTCACTGTGAGTCACTAAGAATCCATTTTGTATGCAACTCCAGTATCATCTGATTCGAACTTTGCCTTCCCTTACCACAGGCCAGTCTTGAGGCTTAAAAACCCCATGGTGGCTAAAAGAGATTTGATTTGTACTTGGTCCTCTTCTCCTTTGTTCTTCCTGTAGGAGCAGGGAGGAGTGGGGTGGAATGGTCAATCCTGGAAACCCAGGACCCAAGCTCTACCTCCTTCATGCCCTTTGTTGGGGAGGAGAGCACAGGACAAGGACAAGGGCCTCTTTTCTTATCTGGCTATGGCTAGATTCTCCGTTGGCTGCACTGCTTCTCCAGGTGACACTAACTCGGCTTCCAGCATCCTTGTGTAGCTGGTGCGCCCACCCTGCCCCACCCCCACACAGGTTCTGCTGTATACCCCTGTGAGATCTTTGGAGGGCTCTGCTGAGGAAGGGGAGTGGGTCCCCACTGCACAGTTCCTGATGTGAGAAATACGTCCCCAGCTTGACTTCCTCTAACCTCTGCTCAGCCCTCCTAGTGTCCATGCTGGCCCCTTGGATGGGACACAGGGGACAGGGTATAACCCAACCTCCTCAGGACGGGCTTGCTCTGTGACCACTCCCCTCTCTGCCAGGAGATGTCCCTCCAGTTCCCTCTTCTTCAGCTCAGGCTGGTGTATCTGCTTGTCAGAATTCCAACTGTGGAAAGAGATGCCAGTTTCCCCTTCTGGTAGGTTCCCCCACTCTGGATAGACCTTCCTCTTAGAGCTCTTCTCACTAGGCTTAGAGGGCACGGGGACACCTCTCTCCTCTGCCACATGCTCTCCTCAATGGCTCAGACAGTTCTCAGCCCTTCCCAACACCAATCTTCTGCCTGTGCAGACAGGTAGCTGACCGGGCAGGGCAGGACTCATTACCTCTTCTTGGTCAGTCCTGAACAAAGTTATCTGGCTCCATTCTCAGCAGCTTTCTCTTGAGAATGTTTGGTACTTAGTACCTACATGAAATTGCCACTTAACATCTTGTTACACGAATATTATCTTCCAACAGTCCCAGAAAGTTACCACAGTTAAGGAGGGAAGAGACCATCTCATGCATCACTTATTTTATTTTTAGAAATCCATATAAAATTTTTTTCAATGAAGAAAAAAAACCTACCTCTAGTCACATACACTGAAGAGGCTTTGTATATGGTTTATATACATTTTAAAGATGTTACAATAACTATTTTCATGTATAAGCTATGTCTTAAACTTAGAAAAAATAGAACTTCTATAATTTCCAACAATTAATTGACTCAATGCAAATGGTAAAAAGTCAGACTTTTAAAAAAGAGTTGAAAGTAGATGCAGTTAATTGAGTTTTAGTTATGGAGGTTGTTGAAGAAAAAGCTGATAATTTCAGATACTGCAGTAATTCTGTTGGCAATAAATAATTCATCAGGCTCAAAGAGCAGTTACTTCAGGGGGATCAGCTGTAACTGGTGTCTTCATAATATAAAATGGCTCTTCTTCTAGACACAATGGTTATTAGACTGAGTGCCAGAATGATTTTTTTTAAATGCAAAAGAGTTTCCACCACAGAATTTCACTACATTGATGAAGATAATATTTCGGGGTACAACTTGTACTGAAGTGCTGAGTTTTGAACAATTCTGAGAAAGAAAATACTGGTGATAAGATTTCATCTAGGGCCCAAATTCCTAGAACAGTAGTAACTTAAATCTAAGCTTCGATTAAGCGTTAGAATGTCTTCATCTGTGAAGAACAATAATAGTATTTGACCCGCTTATTTCATCAGGTTGTTCTGTAATTCGTTAAGCTTCATGAGAGACGGAACTTTTTCACAGCTAAATTTCTAGGACCTGGAAAGTAGAAGGCCGTCAAATGTATTTACTGAATCAGTGGAATCATAGAATGTGTTCAAAAGTTTCTTGGCAAATAGTAAAGCACTACAGGAACATTCATTACTGCTGTTCGTTATCATTTGTAATTGGTCCGCTTTGTTGTTGACACTTGTGCCTTCCGTCAACGACGTCACTGCTGATGTATTTCTGGTAAAAGGCACCAGAAATTAACCTTGCAGACTTTTTATTAGAACACTTCTCATCTTTCCTGATAAAAGCTGACAAAGGGCTGCTCACTTCGTTGAAGACAGAAGGAACATTTGTAATTAGTACACCTCTATGTTAAAGGCCAGCTTATACAATTCTATAAAAGGACGTTAAACATCCCTCTCCAAGTTCATTTGCTTATTTCTCAGGCTAAGTTAGCTTATCTGAACCTGAATTACCATGATATCCAAATAAATGGGGATTAAGGAAAGATGTGTAGTAGTCTTATAACTGAGATATAATTAATAATTTAATGTTGATTTCCTTGATGAAGTGAAGGTATATAATTTTATCATTAGTGTAGACCTCTCTCCTCACTCTGGAAATGTTTTCTTAAAATACAACACACAGCTCACTCATTCTTGTCACCATCCTGTATCTCAGGTTACCAGGAATTCAGTTCAGAAAATACAACACACTTGCATTCAAATCTACTGACAAAATGGAAAGCGTATTCTCTCTCTTCAAGGTTTTCTTCCTAAAGGTGGACTTCTTTTCTGCTCAACTGGTAGCAATCCAGTAGTTTATAGTATATTCTCTCTTCCTCCTCATCTATTTCCCCCATCTTTACCGGAGCATTCTCAAACAGTGCTATAACATCTTCTACTAAGAGCCAACAGACTCCTTCCCTTGATCACCTACTCAATTTCTGCTCTTCTTTAAGAACCACAACACCCCAAGAGGTGCCTATGCCGTCTCCATGTTCCCTTTTTCTGTCCTCACTTGAGTCCACCTGTCTCCTGAGCTCCAGACTCAGACACCCAGTTGCCTTCTTGGCACCTCTACTTTGATGATTAATAGGCATCTTAACCTT